CAACATTAATTTTCTGACGACCTAATATATTTAGTACATAATATATGAAAACATTAAACTATGAAATTACACTTATCTAAAAAATTTATCTATTTTTGAGTTTTATATAGATTTTTTTTCTTCATTTCTTATATATTGTGTGGGATTATTTTTCAAGATTTTTTTTCTCCAAAATTCTACTATGCACAGGGTCTACTACAATTTGTATTACATGACTTATTATATAAATAAAAATTAAATATGAAATTACACTTATCTAAAAATTTATCTATTTTTGAGTTTTATATAGATTTTTTTTTCTTCATTTCTTATATATTGTGTGGGATTATTTTTCAAGATTTTTTTTCTCCAAAATTCTACTATGCACAGGGTCTACTACAATTTGTATTACATGACTTATTATATAAATAAAAATTAAATATGAAATTACACTTATCTAAAAAATTTATCTATTTTTGAGCTTTATATAGATTTTTTTTCTTCATTTCTTATATATTGTGTGGGATTATTTTTCAAGATTTTTTTTCTCCAAAATTCTACTATGCACAGGGTCTACTACAATTTGTATTACATGACTTATTATATAAATAAAAATTAAATATGAAATTACACTTATCTAAAAAATTTATCTATTTTTGAGTTTTATATAGATTTTTTTTCATTTCTTATATATTGTGTGGGATTATTTTTCAAGATTTTTTTCTCCAAAATTCTACTATGTACAGGGTCTACTACAATTTGTATTACATGACTTATTATATAAATAAAAATTACTTCCATAATCGTTTAATCTTTGCCTCTCGTGGTTGGTATGTGTTTAAAATATTGATAGATACTAATAATCAGGAAGGAGGAACATTACATAACTAACTTCAACAGAAAAAGGAAGTTAACGTGAATTGTGTTATAATTTTTAGTGTCATCAGATGTTTATTGTATATACACCAATTTAATATTATTTTTGTATCAGGGGTGTTTTATTGGCTGAAACTGAAAATCAGAAGAAGCCCTTATTATAATAAATAATACAGATTGTATTTGTTATTAATACCCTAACAGGATTTAAATTTTGCCTTCTGATTAAATACGTACAGTGTATAAATTTTAAATTATAACCGATGCATTTGTAGAAGTTACTAAGAGACCTATTTTTCTGGAATATGTATAGAGAAATACATATGTATACACACATTTATTTGAAATATTCCTGACCCTGAGTATTCTATAGTAAACATTACAATTAAGCTGAATTATGTAAATATTAATCCCTTAATCTGTTGGTGGTAAGTAGAAAGAGTGAGAGATTAAAAACAGATAAAGCACCAGGGTTGGACAAGGGTTTTCCCAAGTAGGTAAACAAATAGTGAGCCTCTCTTTAATATTCAATAAGTTAAATAAAGAGAAGGCAGGTGCCTGAGGCTGGAAAGTTGCTTATGTTACTCCAATCTTTAAAGGGTTGCTATGGAAATTAAAAAGAGTTATTTTTACTCTTATAATGAGAAAATTGTAGTTTGATAAAACAAGCTTACAAAATTATTTAGCCAAATGTGATATCATTAATGAAAGCCAACACTGATACACCAAATGAAGAATCTTGCATTAGTAATCTGTTACTTTTTTTTTACAGATGTTACTTGTTGTCTGGATGAGAAAGAGGGTGTGGACTTGGGGTATTTAGATTTTGAAAAAGCTTTTGATTAGTTGCCACAAAGAACATTAGCTGAGAAAAAATCAGTAGAAGTAGGGAAAAGTCTAGTTAATTAGATTGTAGTGTGACTGGATGAAAGAAAGCAAAAGTTTGTTATTAATGAAATTGGACCCTTGTTTATGGTGTATTGTCTCTGAGGTCAGTGCATGGGGCTTTGATTGATGATATTGACAAGGGCATAATTAGTAAAGTTTGTTGATGACTGAGTATTTCTAGCTCTTATAGCAATGCTGAGCTATTACAGAATGACCTGGAGTATATGGTAAGTTGCACAAATATTTGGCAGTTCATCATAAATTGCAGTAAGTGCAAGATAATGCATTTTGATTATCATAACTTGGATCACCCATTTAATATAAATGAGAACTCACTCAATGGCATAACAGTGCTCTATTGTTAGCAGTAAATATAATAGAATTTTTTGTGCCTTTATAATAGACATTGATAACTAGTCAAGAAAGATTTTTTTATACAAATCAATATTTAAGCCCCACTTGGAATACTGGAATATAATATCTAGGTAAGAATACTGGCTTACTAAAAAGAGTTCAGAGGAGAGTTACAAGGGTGATATGAGGGATGGAAAGGTTATCTTAAAAGGATTTCTTAAATTATTTTGTCTAGAGTAAAGATGGGTAAGAGATGATCTAATTGAAGTGTACAAGATCTGGGGAATCAAAACAAAAGTAGACTCTGATTTCTTCATATTCTGAAGATGACTGTATAAGAAGACAAATTCAAGATTTGAGAAAGACAGGCTAAGTTCTAATTATAATAGATTTATTTTTCTAACAAGGAGGTTGACTTACAGAATGAGTTACTACTGACAGTAGTGGAAGCCAGATTTTTACAGTCCTTTAAGAGGGGAATAGAAAATTGCGTGAAAATAAATGGTAGGTTTATATTTTGACTTTTTCTTAAAGGTGGATGTGCAGGAACATTTGAAGTATCAAATAATCCTGTGTTGTTTGTGTGTTAAATTATATATAATCAATCTAAGCTAAATACATTTTGTACCTATTCATATATGAGAGTTCTACTGCCAACATACCTTTCAAAAGGTGTATCCCAAACTAAAATGAAGCTATATGGTAGGTGTCCTTCAAAAATACACCTCAATACTGAGACAACCGAGTGAAGTTAAAATTACAAGCTATATTAGCTAAGAATATTACATAGAAATATGTTGCATTAAAAGTTATTTGGTGACCCATAGGCACTCCAGCTCACCACACCCTAGTGTCCACTTTCAAGTGCCTGCTGGAAAGGTTGGGGGAAAATCTCTTTATGTAAGACATGGATATAGAGTGGAAGAAATTGAAGGTTTAGAACAATGTTAGAAAAGGGGAAAAATACAGTTCTAAACAAAAGAAATTAAGTTCAGATTAACAGGAATGAAATAAGGAAAGAAACATTACAGGAATCATACCTATATTACAAAAAATAATATTTTATATTTGGTTAAATTAAACTTGGGTTAAACATACTTAAATGAGGAAATATCTGGTTGTTTATTTTGATTTTTTCTGAGCTTGTAAATTTCTCTTGCTGTTCTTCTTAACAATTTTTCAACTTTCTTCTCTTCTCGAGTCTGCTTACTGGCCTGTAAAGAAGAAAAGTAAAATAATCAAATATTATACATGAAACAAACAAATAAAACTGAAAATACCATAAACAGGCTATAAATGTGCTAAAATGTGAGTTCACTTGAAAACATTGAAAGAAGTGGTCAGCTACTGGATTTTCCAATTACCATTAGTTGATAATTATTACTGGTTCTCATTGGTCATTACCAGTTTTAATGTTGACAAGTTGGATTTTACCAAGTTATGGCTAACCTGGTTTGTCTATATATAGTCAGCTTTAATGGTTACAACTGAAAATAAGTTAATGAAGGTTATAGGATGATGAAGGCATAACAATGATTTCTAATTGTGTCTATTTTTGTTTCTCTTCTGCTAATGTACACTACCATCATAATGCAGTACTTTAGCTGTACTTTAAATTATTATATGTCAGTTAAGTCAAAACACAACTATTCATATTAAAATTCCCTTCATTTCATTGTATGCTGTAAATTTCACTTGACCAGGCTTTACTGTTTTTAATGGTATACTTTCTATGAAAATATCATCCATAAAATGTGTTTAATAATGTTATTTGCAGTTCCTGAAAATATTACTCAAATTTTATAAACCATTAAATGTGCAGCTATTAACTTGTAAGCTATAATCTATGAAAGTTATTACAATAATTAAAACAGTACTGTACAGTATATCTTCATACTAATTGATATAGTGGCAACAAATAATGAAAACAGTACTGTACAGTATATCTTCATACTAATTGATATGGTGGCAACAAATAATTAAAACAGTACTGTACAGTATATATCTTCATAATAATTGATATAGTGGCAACAAATAATCAAAACAGTACTGTACAGTATATATCTTCATACTAATTAATATAGTGGCAACAAATAATTAAAACAGTACTGTACAGTATATATCTTCATACTAATTAATATAGTAGCAACATGTAATTAAAACAGCATTGTACAGTATATATACCCATACTAATTAATATAGTGGCAACAAATAATTAAAACAGTATTGTACAGTATATATCTTCATACTAATTAATATAGTAGCAACATGTAATTAAAACAGCATTGTACAGTATATATATACCCATACTAATTAATATAGTGGCAACAAATAATTAAAACAGTACTGTATAGTATATATCTTCATGTTAATTAATATAGTGGCAACAAATAATTAAAACAGTACTGTACAGTATATATCTTCATATTAATTAATATAGTGGCAACAAATAATTAAAACAGTACAGTAGCTTATTGTTGAAAGCCAATTAGTTTACCACATTCTCTTAAACCTTTCACTGCTCGGCAGATCATATGATGTTTTAGGTTTTCTTACCACCATTTGAAATCCCAGCTTATATTTAGTTGCACCAAGGACCCATATATGTCACCCTAAATGAAGGTATTTATTCCATACTTATATCTAATGGCTATATTGTGGGTAAAAATGTAAATATTAGGCATTTATACAGTAGTGTTAGTTATTTATATTAGCGTGCTAATTGTAATATTTGTACAACATAGTCATGTTATTCATGACCAATGCTGTGCCAGTGTGTGAAATAAGAGTGAATGCAATACCACATATGGAAAAAAAAACACACAAGATAATCGACTCATAACACTGACTATAAAGTATTTTGCTACTGTAAAATATAATTACACTTCACAGCCACATGAATTACATCATCGTCGGTATTAGCTTTTTCTTATTCAAGCATATATCACAAAAAAATCCTGAGATATGTATTATATTAACATTAAATTAAAACACCTGGGTTATCTTCTAGTTCCTTTTATGATAAAAAAATCACACAAAATAACAAAATTTCAGTAGCACTTACTGATAACTGAATACATTATTTTAATGTAAAACTAAGTTTGTGCATTTTCAACTTAACTAATGTGTGATCCAAAGTACATTTTGGACTATTTATTTATCTTTTACATGTTAGGAGTATTATTAATGTTAAAACAAGCTTTTGAACAAGACAGCTTTAATGGATACTTGTAATTTGCTTAAAGGCTTATAACACTAACATGTGGAGTTCCAGGGTTCAAGTCCTGCAGCAACCACAGTTTAGTTAAATCATTTTGCAGCTTTGTATTTAAAGTTTGTGACTTGGTACAAACGTCAGGTTTTTGACATAAAAATGTAGGTTTTAATCCAGAGTGAGAAATTTAATTTTTTCGAATAATCATAAAGAGCTTTTATTTAAGAAAAAAAAAAGATTAAATAAGTATACTTGAATCGGGTAAAAAGTAAATTACAGAAATATTCTAACCTCTTTTGTGCCACTTGCAAATAATTGTTGAATATTTTCATTTTCATTTATCCATGTCAGCAGCTGCATATCCCCTATTGTATAAAATAAATGATGTGACAAAAATAAGTAACATTCATAATCATAAACACATCTATGTATAAAAACTTTAGATAATTTACTCAGCCCAGTTTTGTATTTTCAGTTTATCAATATCAGAGTCAGGTAACTGAAAGAAAAACGTTATTAATGTGCCAGTCTTGTTTCTTTATGTAGAGATGAAACTGACAGAGAAAGCTACACTGGAGAATAGCATTACATTTATAAAAACATACACTGACTCAAAAGAATGATACCCTAATCAACATGACGTATTTTCAAGTAAAATGATTTCCTCAGAGTATTAGGTAATTCCACTTCATAATGGTAGGATCAACAGAATCTATATATATAGAACTTAATTGAACTTAACCCTATTTCTGTTTTATAAAGCCTATTGGCTAATTCCTCCCAGCCTATTAAGTCAATCTGAAACAATCTTGGCAGGTTGACGATTTAGACAATGTTGAATATTCTAAAGGGATTCAAGGTCAAAGTACAAAAGTTGCTGGATTGTACATCTCATTGACCATGAGAAAAGCATGGTTGTTTGAGAAAGGGTGTTCAAGGGTGGGATCACCTCAAAATCTTTATTTGTTGGTAGATGGAAAGCAAACTGTAAATGTTGTTTTTGAAGAAATTTTGTTATAATTTTAAAATTTTGAGATAAAGTTTATGTTCAAGTTATTACTTTGAAGTATATGGTTGCTGTTAAACTTACATTGATTTACTGAAGTTTAAACATTCTCCATCAGTTGATGGGTATTTCATTTCATAAATTATAAAGTAACAGTGAATTTAAGCAAAGTAAACAGATCAGACATGATGTGGGAAACAAAGTGAAAACAATCTTCATTAAGTCAGAAACATGGTGTGAAGACTTGCTTATGCAGAATGGTTGCTTTTCACTGGATTCATGAATTGATTAACTAACTTTTTTCCCTTTCAGATGTCTTCCCTTTAACCAACTCACTTAAGATCAGGAAAAAGAATGTTTATTCTAGCAATAGGTATTCCATAATATTTAAATCCAACAGTTCTTGTTGAGTAAGAAATGTTAGATTAACAAGAACCGTTGGATTAATCCATAGTGACTGGTCACTAGAATTTCATTCCAAATACAAACTTGAATCATAATAATGAGTGAATACCTTTAGTTTTGGCATCCTCTAACTTATACTTGACCTCCCTCAACTTAGAAATTTCATCATGGAGTAGGGTAAGACGAGTCTGAGAGGCTCGAAGATCTAAGGCCAGGTCCAGAGAAGTCCTAAAGTTGAAATTCTTAGGATTGGTGGATGAAAAGGAAGTGCCACGATGCTTAACACACCTTCCAGGAGGCTGAGAGAATAACATTATCAAATTAGCTGTTACATAACAACTCTTCTAATTACTCAGACCTTGAAAAAGTAATGATTTTCATATTTAAAATATTTCCTATGCTGGTTTTAATAGTACAAAGCTCTTTATATATGCTAAAACTACTATTCTTTTACAAAGGAGTCAAGCTACTACAACAGAGTACACTAAGCCAAATACCAATTTATTGGTTTTTAGACTGTTTAGTTTCTAAATTAACAGAAAACATAAAAATAGCCATGACTGTGGTAAATCAGAAAGTCACTTCTTCATATGTGAAAAATATTTTTATAATGTTGAAGTAATAAATATTTGTTTGATTGATTGTTCAGATTTTAATTGGGCAAAGCCACAGTGGCTATATCTGTGCCAAATGATGTTTTATTTAAGATTTTTTGTTTATATTTAAACTAACCACAAAAAAAAAATATATATATATATAAACAATCAATCTATTTATGTTAGATCAGGTAAAAATTACAAAATATGATTAAAATGATAAGTTAGAAAAGTGTGCCAATGTAGAGCCTTGCCACTACAACTTTTTCTCTCTGCTTCATAGGCAGACTAAACAGCCAAGCAGTAACAGTAGGCTTTATCTTGAAATGCTTGTTGTGATGTTGCTCACCCTAAAACATTCACTTACTGGTGTCAAACCTTGCCATGAGTACAGGCTTGAAATCCTGATATGGGATAGGCAAGTTTATCACATCATAACTGCAGGCTGATTTTGCAATGGGTTCAGCAAGCTCATTACTTGGTGTTCCAATGTGACCAGGGATACAGAAAAATTTAACGGAGTTTTTTAAAACAAGACATTACCCAGTATTTTCTGAATATTCCAGAGATCTGGATGAAAACTAACATTAAGTGCTTTTAAGAGCTAAGAGAGTTAGTACAGATGGTTCAATTAGTGTACTTCTTAGGTTCTATTTGATTCATAACAAGAAAGATTGCAGACAACTCAGCAATGAAGACAGAATCTGTAGAGAGAATCCTGTAAACAACCATAAGCTGCAACAAATATGGTTGAGCCCACAAAGTTACATAATTTTCAACCATCTGTAAAAACTGGAACACAAGAATGGCCAGAAAAATGTTCATTATAGAGAAGTCAGTGTTTCCAATTGGGAATATCTGACTTCTTTGGATAGTCCAAAGAAATGTCAAAGTGAGGATGGTAATAAGCCATAATAGGGTAGGTTAATCTTTGGATTCTGCAATATCATCACACCAATTTCAGTCAATTTTGCCTGGATTGGCCAAAGGTAGAAATAGCAGATTGTCTACTTGCAAAAAGCATAGCTTACTGGATGCATGAAGACACCTTCAAGTGAGAAGGTGTGGTAGGATTTGAAGTATTCTGCAAAGAAAGTTGCAGCTGTCTGAAGTGAAGTGGAGGTTAATAGAACTCTGTGTACAAACTATAAACTGGGGTGATGTGGAAAGCTCCTGTACAGGGCCAAATTCCCTGACAATAGATAGGGTTCAATATCCTCAATGCAGTCCCTGGCCAAGGCTTAGACCACAAACCATAGTTCAGCTTAGATCGAATAAGGACATGATAGATCTTGAGAATAGAACACCTATTCACTCCCCAAGAGATGGAAATGAGGATGAGGAGCTCTTGTATAATTGACTTTAAGCTGCTTAGTGTGTGGAATAAAAGCATTTTATTAAAGAGAAGTCCCAAGAACTTTGTCATTGCCAACACAGAAATGTATGCACCTCTGAAATGGAGTTTAGGATTAGGGTATAAACCCCACTGATGATGAAAATACAAGCAAACAATTTTAGATGATAAAATTTGAAGCCATTTGCATTTGGACAAGTCCCTCAAAGTATCTCATATTACAAGACCAAAAGGAAATTTCAAAGTCTTCAACAGTAAGTTTGGGAGGCATACTTTCAACTTGTTTTTGAATTTTGTCCCGAGTGATCTTTAAAAAGGTAGTGAAAGAGATGCTGGATGCACAAATTTAATTCAAGTTCCTTTTGGCTTTGATGTCTGACTTGATGAGCATGATCAAGTCTTCGGAAAGGTTACAAGTTGGCAAAGGTGAAATACCTGTAGAAAATATCCCAGGCCTGTTTCTGAGCAATCCATGCTCTTTGGCAGTTAGGTGTCCACTATGGAGGAGGATACAGTCAAAAACATTTTGTTTTACGGATCGTAAGAACAGTTACCTGGATAATGGAATCAGTTATTATCTCCACACACTTGTTAAAAGATGGTAGGTTCAAAATAGTAGGATCAAGCGCTGAGAAAGTGGTAAATACAAGCCAGTTAGCCTTCTCCTGTTGAAGTAAAAATGAACACTGACTCATGGATCATTGTCCATTTTCCATAAAAAAACAAAGAATAAGTGAAGGGGAACAAATGGAAAGATCTATTATAGTAAAAGTTTGAGTGGAGGCAAAAAAAAAGTAGATTCTTCAGTACTGGAGAGAAAGTGTGATCTGAGAGCATATGCGCCAACCTTCATCATCACAAAGTGGATTTTGACCATTAAAATCTCCCAGGATGAACAAGGGAGATGGCAACTGCTTGATATAATCATTCAGGTCCACACAATTGATATTTTCTCCTGCTGACAGGTAAATATAACAGAATATAATGGTATAATCACCAAAGAAGACACAATAATGACGTATTGAGTGGCACAGTCATAGAGGATGCATGCTGGTCTAAAGCAGTATCAGCTGTTTTCAGGAATGTTTCTTGTGAGGAGATACACACTAGATGGTAAGAATCAACCAAGGCCTTAATGACATTCAAATTGCAGCAAAAATATTGTATCAGTGTGGCCACTTTCATTTGGAATTTGTTGGAGATCCTGCATACTAGGGTTGAAGTGATTGGACCCAATAATTCACTGGTGTTAGTGATGGGAACAGAAATCTCTTAACATGGCAAGAAAAAAGACTGTGGGGGACAGAGAGATCTGTCTGCACTCCCACTATGGTAGTGCAAAGTGCAACAGCATAATTCTGTGTTGAAAAAAGTGCTACCATCTTTCTTGCCTCTGGATAAAAAATATTGTTCAAGGTCTTAACTCACTATATCTTTCTTTCTTTGATCCACTTAGGATATGATCTACGGTATGAGTAATGGAAATTTGAGCAGTTGACACAATGTGACTCTTAATTTGCACTCATAACTACCTCCACAATGAGCAAGTGTCCAAATGAATGATAGTGAAAACACTAGAAATAAGGCCTGGCTGTACAGTTCAGATACTTTTAATGGCTGGAGATGGCTTGAAAAGGTAA